CTGATGTAGAATGTTATTTGAACCAAGTTATAGTTCCTCACTCATTCTATTATGGTTTATGTAGAATGTTGTTTGAACCAAGTTATAGTTCCTCACTCATTCTGCTGGGTCACCAATGATTCTAATAGTTACACTTGCTTCTTGAAGTTCTCACACAAATGATGTAATCCACCTTCACGGTAGCAACAGAGGTGATGGTATTATGATCAGTGGTGGTAACCACTTACCTTCCCTACCAGTTTGCAAATGTGAGCACCTGCTCCTTCCTTCCACACATGCGCTTTGTCTATAAAAAAAGGGCCTTAATGGGATGCCGTAGAGCTGGGCCAAGTGGGCGGGGCAACCCGCAATTTCCACTACTGGCTCAGGCGAACCGGTAGAATATCACCGATTCTGATACATGTGACATCACTTGCTCCTCCCATTAAAGGACACGCCCCTTAGCAGGTGCAAAAGAACAGCTCAGACACACAGGCACAAAACCGAAGGGGGGAAAAAGGAAAAGTGAAATGCTTTACCAGATCCCAGTCTATGCTGCGAAAAAACGTGTGTGACTTGATTTCAGAAAATCCTGTTTGGGCTTGGCATCCGAGTCTCTCTTTGGGATCCTAGAAGGAAAGATAAAATTAATTTTCCCACGATTGTATTTAATTGACAGGTTTGTGAGGCCGAAAGACAAGAGTCTTTAAAAACGAATTTGTAAACTTTATAAAGTAAATCACCAAGTTCATCTTAACCATTCTGTCTCTCTATATTTTCACTTTACAAGTTACAGAATAGAATGTGGAAGAATTCTCTTAGTATATTTTTCCCTAGTTTGAACACTGTTCAAAAACAATGAATAGGTTTTATTGTTTTTAAGGTTTAATGAATAAACCACAGGGATAACAGAAGGTACTGAGAGCCAAAAAGTGCTTTTGTGCTTAATTTGCTGGGGGGTGGGGGTGGAGACAAAACATTGTAGACCTACCTTATTTAAAAATCCTTTCAAAACATGAGAGGCCTTAACAGAAAGGAATCTTGGAATTCGGATTGGTTTTTCAAGGATAACTGTTAAAAGTTTTGGAAAGAGAAAATATTATATTCCCCAAAACATCAGTATAGTAATCATTTTAAATCTGTGTTAAAATGCAACACAATTTCCTCTCCACCCCTGCTTAACAGAATGTCAGGGTTCCAAATAACATCCAAAAGTAAATCAGAGTCCAAGGCAAAATATTGCTCAAAGTTCCAATTTATTAAGACAGCCATGTTGGCACATCTGGGAAAACCCGAATCGGAAAGCTTCCAGGTTTTCCCCACCCGGTTGAAAGTTCAAGATCTTTGCCCCACACCCACAAGCCCATCACATGGTCCAATGTTCCACTACCACAAAGACAGATTCCTCCCATCCAGTTCCGGCCAGGTGCCGAGACAAAGATGACCTTGGCTTTCTAAGAAGAATGTTATTATGGCTACATATCACCCCACTCCATATAATCCCCCCTCCCATTTTCCCACAGAAGAAAGTATGGCAGGCCTGAAATCTAAAAAGAAAAGATGGCTTGTAGGCAGGACATCAGGATTTTGTCAAGCACTTCAGTAGGAGGCTCCCTTTGAAGTCAATGCAGAACCCAAAAACTAAACCATAAACCGGGTACCTCTCTTAATTAAGGGGACTCTGCCAATGTTAGCACGTTAACTGTAAGTTCTGAAGTAACTACGATACACAGGCTCCTTGGCACAGTTCAAATGCCAATTCTGCTCAGAGTGATCCTTCCAGAAATTAGCAAAATGTAGGGACAGGATGTCCTGAATATCCTTCCCTATGAAATATAGAAATCCTCGGTGCTAAATAAAGAATATTCCATATTAAATCAGTAGCTGGTGTGGTGTAAAAGATGGAGTCTTGACAGCAGACAATTCTTGCCTTCCATAAGGCAATTTTCTATCTGTCCTTCAATTTCATTTCAATGGGCATTGGTACGCCAGCTGGGTGTATGATTTTGGCCCGATTCAAGATATTTTAACAACCATATAAGACAGGGGTCACCAACAGAGGTGGCTTCCGGCAGCCACTACTGCTGGTTTGCTCATGGGCACGAGGTGCGCTTGATGTGCGTGCAGGCGCAATACAATAAAAATTGTTCTGCACAAGCGCAGAACCAAAAAAACAAGATATTGGTGCCTAGGGCATTGCCCAGAGAACCGGGTGTGGCAGGCCTGGGTTGCTGCTAGTTCCAGGCTGCCAAACCACTACCGGTTCAGTCGAACCGGTCTGAAACGGTAGGAACCCACCACTGGTCACCAAACTTTCGGACCTCAGGGACCACTAAATTCATAATTTTAAATCCGGTGGACCACTAATATGAATTAATGATGGGATGGGGTCTTTCAGGCACTTAGCTTGGCCGCCTGTTAGCAGAGAGAAGCGCCCGGGGTCAACCCTAGCTTTGCTGTCCATTGCAGTTGGGAATCTTGAATACAGCCAAAATGAATGTTTGTCTTGTAGCTAGCCCGGGCGCTAGATTGGCCCCCTGCAAACTCTGTGTTTCAAGGAGCCCGGATGAAGTTTCGCGCATCTCTCACTGAAGTGCCTGGACTCCCAGGGAGGGGAGGGAAGAGCTGGAGCTACTAAACAGGCAGCCAAGCTAAGTGCCTGAAGGACCCCATCCTGTCACTAATTCATATTAGTGGTCCCATCAGCGAGTGGGAGTAATTGCTTTGGCAGGCGGTAGTTTGAGGATCCCTGATTTAGGGCAATATAAAAAAAATGCAAAAACGCAAAGATTTTTCTGCGGACCACTAAAATTTTCTCACGGACCACCAGTTGGTGACCACTGATAGAAGAGGTTGAATTTTAGAAGAGGCTATTTATAATTCAGGGTGTCTTTGGAGCTCTCTGAGCTTGGTGGCTTTCTTGCAAATGTTTCATTAACGTTGATAGCCAATATCATCAATGCTAGCTGATGAAAGAAAATTAGGTCTGAGAAATTATATATCACTGAACTTGCCTAGCGCTGATGGTGTTATGTAGTTGGGTGATGAAACGTCTGCAAGAAAACAACCGAGCTCAGAGAGTTCCAAGGACTCCACAGGTTAAATTTTTGTTTTCCAAATAATTTTTATTCTCACAGATGAAGGCATACATACATACACAGGTCCCAGGATAACTTTGCAGGATCAAATCTGGGTCAGTCGCTGGGACCAGAGGTTTAGTCTTTAAGTTTTTGGACTCGTGCTGGAGCCCATCCCTAAGCCTCTGATCCCAGTGACCAATCCAGATTGGATGCTGCAATTTTTATCCTGCTCTTGAGTGAAACTTTATTCTAATTCTTAACACTCTAGTGAAATGTTGGATACTAATCTGTCGTTACATTAAAAAATACCTTGGAAGAGGTAATCTTCAGTGTTCATATCTGGATTGTCGGTAATGATATCAAAAGGAGATCTTCCTGCCATCATTTCAAACATGAGGACACCAAGGGCCCACCAATCCACACTGAATCCTGTAAAGAAATATTAGAAAAATGTGTTTTCAATAAAAGATTTCAGGTTACGGAGCTGACTGTTACTGCTTTAATATACAGAACAACACTTAAGGATTAGAGACATTGATTGAGATGGGTGGCTATAGGAAAGAGAGAGGGTTTTTTAGCATCAGATAAAGATATGGTTGGAAGAGATGTTAGATCAAAAGATAGATTTAAAAACAGAACTATTCCTATTCCTATCTATGCCACCTAGAGCCGAGGTGGCACAGTGGTTAGAGTGCAGCACTGCAATCTACTTCAGCTGACTGTTAGCTGCAGTTCGGCGGTTCAAATCTCACCGGCTCAGGGTTGACTCAGCCTTCCATCCTTCCGAGGTGGGTAAAAATGAGGGCCCGGATTGTTGTTGGGGGGCAATATGCT